GCTGTTGCTTTGGTGTGTTGATATCCTGCCTTTTTTTTTTGGTTGATTTGTTTATGTTACATTAGCCTTATCTGAATAAAACTGATAAGCAAAATCGTAGACGAGAATTATTTTGGTTGTTTGTGCCTTGAAATTGAACTGTGTTTAGTACAACTGACTGTTGGTTTTGAACATCTTCATCATGAGTGGAAACGGAGTTTGTCACAAATGTAACTGCAGATGTGTTTTCAAAGAGTCAAAACAGGATACTTTTAGGTATCCCTGTGACCTATGCAAAAATGTTATTTGTAGGGCATGTGGCAATATATCTGCGTCAGAGATCAGGGTCATATTAATGGTATCTAGAGTAATGCCATTTGTATGTCCTAAATGTAGGGAAAACATGTTTAATTTGCCCAATATAGTGAAGAGGCTCAGTGATTTGGAAGTTATGATTCAAAATCAGGGTTCTGATACAATAAGTAGAATGGTTACATTGGAACAACGGATTATTAAAGTTGAGCAATCAGTAGATGTGGCCGGGAATAGTGGCAGGGGTCCAGCAGTGGAGTCAGTAATTGGTGAAAGGGAGGAACTGATTGTTGAAATGATGGAAAGAAAAAATAGAGCAAGCAACATCTTAGTCTATAACGTAACTGAATCAAAAATGAATACACAGACACAGCGCATGAAGGAAGACAGTGAAACTGTTGAGAGGATATTGGAGAATTTTAATATCGATAAAAATAAGTTGTCAATTTATAGATTGAGAAAGTTTATACCCAACCAGAATCGACCAATTAAAGTATGTCTGGCTAAAGAGGAAGATGCAAAGTATGTGCTTAAAAATAGAAACCTAGTGGCTGTGCCTAGTGTGAAGATTAATAATGATCAAACCAAAATGCAGCGCGAATATTTTAAAGTAGTGCAGGCTGAGTTTCAATCAATGGTTCAAAATGGTGAGGATAATAAGACAATAAAGTATATCAATGGTAAGCCCACTATTATTAACAAAATTCAAAATAATAAAAAAAACTAACTATCAAACCTGATATACCCCTGAATAGTGATATTGTCTATCTTAATGCTCAGAGTGTCCTAAAAAACATTGATCAAGTCAGGCAATGTATCGCGGTTTATAATCCAAAACTTATTCTGCTAAGTGAAACGAGAACAACAGATGATATTGAGGATAGGGAATTTAAGATAGATAACTACACATGTGTCCGTTGTGATTCGAATAGTAGGCATACGGGAGGTGTGTTGCTGTACATCAAAAGTAATTATAATTATTCTTGTAAAAAAAAATTTATTTTAAATAATAATTACTGGTGCTGTTCCATAAAAGTAAATATGTTGTCATCAGTATGGGTTATTGGATGCCTATATCATTCCCCATCCAGTTCTAATGCGAAATTTATCGAGGACTTGGATGGTATTTTTGATAATGTCTTTGCGAATAGCAATAGATGTGTGCTTGTTGGTGATTTTAATATAAATTTCTTGGAGTCTGGCTTTTATAGTAACAAAATTAAATGTCTTTTTTCTACCTATGGTATAACTCAGCTTGTTTCAAAGCATACACGAGTGACAGCTAATAGCGCAACTTTAGTAGATTATGTTTTAACAAACCAAGATAATGTACTTGTGGAGGTTCACGATGTTCCAAAAATAGCTGATCATTCGATATTGAGTGTAAATCTTTTTAGTACAAAAGTATGTAATGATGTAATGAAAAAGTATAGAAATATTAGTGAATCTAATTTAAATATGATTAGAACAAATATGCTAAATTGTAACTGGAATTTAGACACTGTAGATGTCGATCTTATCTATCAAGAAATATCCACAAATTGTGAAAAAGTTGTTAACAGTGTTGCACCCGTTCAAGTTTGTAAATATAAATCAAAGCTGCCATGGTTCGATAATGAGGTTTTTGATAAGATTAGGGAGCGGGATCGACAATGAAAAAGCAGTAAAATGGTAAATTTTTAAGGGTTTAAGAAACCGAGTCGTTGGTCTGTTGAAAGCTAAGAAGGACCAATATTATGTAGAAAAAATTGATAGGTTTAGGAATAACCCAGCAGAAATGTGGAAAACTTTAAAAAGTTTAGTGAGTGGAAATAACGGGGATGTTTCCAATGCTATATGTTTTGAAATCGATGGTCAAACTAAAATATTAAGAGATAGTAATGAGATCGCTGATTCCTTTAATAAATATTTTATAAGTAGTATAATAGACGTTGTTGCAAGTATTCCAGTATTGCAATGCAGTTATTTTTTAAATAATAATATCTATCAACCTATGCATCATTTTCATTTATTGTCTATGTCAGACCTTGCGAAGATTATTACCGGTCTAGACAACAAATTTTCTATTAATGAAATTCTTAACTCTAAAATGCTAAAAGAGGTTTTTCAAGCAATAGGTCATATTATTTTAAATTTGGTGAATGCATCTCTTAGTGTTGGAAGAATTCCCAAGGCACTGAAATCTAGTATTGTTATCCCCATTCAAAAGGTCAATGGTACCATTCACGCTAAAGAGTTCAGACCGATCAATACACTGCCACCAATAGAGAAGGTTTTGGAAAGGGCTGTTTATGATCAATTGCTCGAACATATTACAAATAGCGCTATTTTGGTAAACAATCAGTCCGGGTTCAGGCAGAAGCACTCCTGTGAATCTGCATTACAATTAACTTTATGTAAAATAAAAAATGATCTGGATAATAATAAATATGTGGTGGGTGTGTTTTTGGACCTGAAAAGGGCATTCGAGACTATTGATAGAGAAATATTATTGTCGAAGTTGCAGAAATATGGAATTGGTGGTAGTGTGCTTGACTGGTTTGTTGATTATCTGCGGGATCGTGGACAGAGGGTGAGATTTGGTGGATCACTTTCTAAAGAGATGGTGAATGAAGTCGGTGTTCCTCAGGGCTCGGTCCTGGGCCCCCTTCTTTTTATTTTGTATTTTAACGACATTGAGCTATTTATTGATTGTGATTTTATTAACCTCTTTGCCGACGATACTTTCCTGGCTTGCAGTGATACAGATCTTAACAGGGCTGTGGATAAAATGAATGCTATTCTAAAGAATACTTCAAAGTATTTGGTAGCAAATAAACTAAAGTTGAATGTCATGAAAACTAAAGCTATGATTTTTACAAACAAATTCAAGTATAAGAAGTATGTAGAAACTAGAAATGATATAATGTTGAGGGTGGATGGTGACTTAATTGAGATTGTATCTAATATTAAATATCTTGGGTTTCAAATGGATAGTTTGTTGAATTTTGATAAGCACTTTGAATATATGAGCAAAAAAATATCAAAAAAAACTGTATTTTTTTAGTAGAATTGCAAACAACTTAACTATTCAAACTAAGATTTTTGTTTATAATTCAATAATACAACCACATTTTGATTATTGTTCTTCAATACTGTACATGTTTAACCTAAATAAACTAAATAGTTTACAAAAGCTTCAGAATCGTGGCATGCGGATTATATTGAAAGCAAGCCGTCTTACACCAATATCGGACATGTTACAAACATTGGGTTGGTTTTCTGTTGAACGTAGAATTCACTTTTCTACCATGGTATTTATTTATAAGATCTTGAACGGGTTGGCACCAGAATATTTCAACCAATATATAGTTTATAATAGAGACATTCATGAATACTCAACAAGAAATATTAATAACCTGCATATCTCAAGAACCAATTATAGGAGTACAATGAATTGTCTCTTTTTTAAGGGATTCCAAGAATTTAATAGGCTTTCAAATAATGTAAAGGAATCTAATTCATTAGGGGTTTTTAGACAGAGATTAAGAATATTTGTATTGAATCAATAATGTTCAATGTTAGGCAATATGTTTTAGAGAACAAGTAGTTATAAGTTAAATTTGGGTTGGGTATGTTATAAGTACTGGTTTTGGTGAATATCTCGGTGAATATATGGAATTTTAGTGTTTTGTGTAGGAGTGGAAATAATGTTTTAGTGAATACTCTTGTACTTTTGCTGGTTAAGGGACAAATTTATATTGTATAATTTTTTTTTTGTATATTAGGTTAACCTATTTAAATAAAGATATTTTCAATTTTCAATAGCCCTTTGCCTATCTACTCAATACATATATTTGCGGCCAACATTAGAGTGAGAGAACAGGAGAGATCCATGAGATTTTCTTGCCCTTACTAGCACTATCTCACTCAGGGTTAGACTGAGAGATATGGGAGATCCAATAGATTTTTTACCCTTACTAGCGCTATCTCATTCTGGAATCAATTGAATGACGCAAAGCTCATTCCATACCTTCTTTCTACTTCATTGGTATATATACAAATTCCAGATTACTCTAATTCACTCCAAAACTAGAGTTAGAGTACAAATGTACCAAAAAGCTAATCAGCATCTTTCATCTTTTTTCCTTTTGATAAGGAAAACAGAGATAAAAAACCAATAAAGCAGCTCTGAGTATCTACTCCAACATCACCAGTGTTATAGAGGGTGTTCATTTCTAATGCTTTTCTTGCTCCAAGCAGATCTCAATTACAAATGAATACCCTTATAAAAAAAGTCTAATCTAAGTAGGTACCACACTAATTTTTTTTGTACTTGGTGTAGTCCACTGGGACTTTGAATTTTACTGAATAAAAATGATAATTATTATGATTAAGTGGAAGTGGACTATTACCAAGTCTAATTATATTGTACTGAATAAGTGGCAATAAGTTGCTAGATAACAAGGCATATTTGTCATTATTCATTGGCTAAAAAAGAAAATCCAGTTATCAATGACCAAAATGACTATTAAATTTTAACCTTAAGACCTTCAACTTGAGAGCAAATACAAAAAAAAAAAAGGACCAGACAAGTGCAATGACTTTTTGGGTGCCTCAATTATCCAATTAACCAAATAATTAACGTAAATTTTGATGTGGTCTTTTATCGACAATACTTTTATTCCTTTTTTTTTTATGGTCATCCTATTTGAGCACGTTTTCCTTACCTGATCCAGTTGGTTTTCGGCCTGTTGTCGTTGGTTCGGGTCGATGGTGGCCCTCAGCAAATCTATCACTTCTCGGATCTTCATTTCTGCCCGATTTTGTTGCGTAGGATTTCAGTGAAACTTTAATTTTCCGAGGGCGAACCGAAAATGTTAAAAATAAAAATTCAACAAGATGCCTTTGCTTTTCACCCGCAAATAAATTTTACTTTACCACATTTCTGACAGACGTCAGACGTGATCGTACCGGGGAACTGTCAGAAATTTAATAGGTCATCCCTCATTTTTGGCTTGCAATTTTTTTTTTGGCGGGAAATATTAATTTTTGTTCAGAATAATTTAAAAAATTCAATGAATGTTAATTAAATTATTAAAATCTACCAAATAAGTATTTTTAAACCCAAGAACCTTTTTTTAGTAGGAAATTTCAATGTCCATCTTAGTTTTCGTTATATGAACAAACGGAACACGCCCCAAATTGATTATACAACCTAACCTCAAAAATAAACTAAATCAAATTTTTTTTTTTCTGGGAAAATTTAATTCTTTTCCAAATAAATTATGGCTGACGAAGGTGAAGACCCCGTCAACGGAACTTCGGACGAGAACAGCGAAAAGTCCCAGCAAAAGAAACAAGCCAAATACGATAGTGGAGCGGCCGATTTGGAAAAAGTCACAGACTATGCGGAGGAAAAGGAAATTTCCACGCAGGACGTTGCCAATGCGATTTCGGCCATCGGGGATAGACGGAATCAGGCTGCGCTCGAAAAACAAGCCAGAGAAAAAGAACTATTGAAGGTACACCTATAATTTTTACTTGTATTGAGTTATAACTTTATTATTTTTAGGTATTAATTAAAAAAGAAGACGTAGATCTGATAGTGAAAGAAATGGAAATTTCCAGGTCTAAAGCAGAAAGAACTTTAAGAGAAAATCATGGAAATGTTGTCAATGCCTTGATATCTTTGACCAATTAAGACAATTTATAATTAAATAATGTTTTTTATTTAACCAACCCTACAATAAACTATTACAAATATTCTCTATCCATTGGCGTCTTTTTAGCTTTCTTGTCTCTAGCTCTGGGGAACCATCTATGTTTTGTAGTGTTTGTTATACTCATCAGTTCAGCTCTGGCTTGCTCTGGTGTTTTCTTGTTGAAAATCGACAATAGTTCCGGAGTAAGTTGGGTTTTTAGAACAGAAGGATGTTCCTGTATTTTTTCTTCTGGAAGAGGCTGTGTGCACTCATAAGGGATGTCTTTTTTCGGGTGCCAGGCCACTAGGGTCGATCCGTCTGTTGTGCAAACAATTTTGTGTTGCGAGGAATAGGCTCGATGGATTTTTCTAGTTAGATTTACTATTCGGTTGTTCATGGTTTCAAATTTTTGATTGGTTCACTTTCTGGAGTCCTGGAGAAACAAAAAATTTATAACCTCACTTTAATTTCATTTTTAAACAGTGTCTAGAACTATCGATGCTCGTCTTATCGATATTGCGAGATTCTATCGTCGATAGTTTGAAAAAAATATATGTACTGTAAAGCTTGCGCCACACGATGTGTCAAATGCATTTCAACGTTGGACACAGTGATTTGAGGCTCCACGTGCACTCGTGATAAACATGTGTCCAACGTTGGCCACACGCAAGGATAATACGATACACACTACTAACCTTGCGTTCGGTATTTTGCTCAAAGAGCAGAGCGTGCCGAGCGGAGCCATAATCACGTGACCAGTGAGCGAACAGAGCAGTTGAACGCTGTATAAAAGTGCCAGAAATTTTAATAAACGAACGCGAATGAGGCTGCACCGAGTACACTTTTTAAATAAACGAACGGTAAAGTCAAGCTCGGAGAACTCGGACCAAAATAACGAACGCACGGTAAGTACTACTACAGGATGGCCTATCCTTATAAGGCCTGTGTGTAAGAAAACCCTCCTTTTCCCCATCACGCCAAAATACCAGTTGTGACGTAAGCAGCATGTTATTTTTCACCTTGACGTAGGCTTTCCAAACAAATGACGACTTAGTTATGACGTCGCAAATGGTAACACACTAATATGGCGCCGATTACCAAAAATGAGGCCGATGCACTCCTTGAGTGTGTATTCTCCTTGGGCCACACGCACCGATCGGGCCAAAGTCGGCAAAATTTTATCAATGTCAATCTTTTATTTAGAAGCCAAAAAATTTGAGACCATTAAAAAAAAATTCCTCATGTAAATCAATTTTTTTCTTCTGCAAATTTTCGAACGGGAGGTAGGCATTAAAATCACCCATATTCTCATCAGCATAAGATAGGTTCGGCTATTCAGCGCGGAGTTGGAGTGGAGTGAACAGAGCTAATGGAGTCGCCCTTAATACGGTAAAAAGCAATACCCGAACGGCTGGAGTGCGAATGGAGTCACTCGGAGTGCACGGAGTGAGCAAGCCGAACCCACCTTTAGTAGCCACATTCAGTCCTCAAAATGCCAGACAAAAAAAAATGACTCCATTAAACAGGCCCTATCTCACAGTCTATAAGTTGAGCTGTTTATACGGTTTAAACAGCCTTCATCAACGCGAGAAATAACATGCTGCTACGTCACAACTGGTGATTTTGGGGGATTTTGTTCCAAACAGGCCTTATGAGGATAGACTATCCTGTAGTAGTAGTGTGTATCATCCTTGGCAGAAGACACGTTACACTAGGATTGAGGGCAAATCCCCACGAGCGTAATTAGCGCAATCGACATGAACGTCAATTCTACGCCAATTTTGGCGTAACATCCCGCATGTAGTGCATCAAAACCAAATCAAAAACATTTTCTAACCCAAATATCTTGTTTATTTTTTGCCAGGTTGTAATTAGAATTCACTAATTTGTTGTTGTAGTCCTTTTCCTTTGGTTTTGTTGTGGTTTTCTGTGATTGTTATATCATGGCGGGGTTCGGCTATTCAGCACGGAGTTGGAGTGATCTAGGAGTGATTAGAGTGAAAAATTAATACACGAATGATATCGGGTCTTCAAAAAAAAAACCAATCAAAGATTGCTATGGTTTTTTAAACGTATGTCTTGGCAATATTTGTCTTTAATTTTGTCAATGAAATTTAATGTCAAAATTTCCTGTCAAAAATCCTGACGAATAAAGAAACAGTAATGCGACGTACGTTTTCGTAGTCAAAGCAATCTTCGATTGGTTTTTTCTTTGAAGACCCGATATGTTTGTTCTAAAACAATGGTCAACTGTGACTTTACATTTTTTTTTTTTTTCACTTTTGTCTTTGGTCTTTCATATACTAACTTCAATCCCTCCACAAAAATTAATTATGATGCTTTTGCGTCTGTTTAACTTTGCCAAAGAAATTTTCCCATCTTGTTAAATAAATTTTAAAATCAGATCAATTATTTTACTCGATGATTTTACCAATTCCCGCATCCACACATAAACGATTTTTAATTTTTTTAACTAACCACAACGTGACCTTACAAGCTTGACAGTTTCCACATTTCACCTCTGCGCCTGCTTACTCTGAAAAATTCTCTTTCCGAGGAACTTTTGGAGTGAGCTCCATTTACTCCACTCCATATAGTGGAACGCTAATGGAGTCAGCCCTAATACGCCACAAAGCAATACCTGAACGAATGGAGTGCGAATGAAGTCACTCGGAGTGAGCAAGCCGAATCCACCTCATATATCAGAAGAAACAAAACTAAACGTCACAACTTCGCCACGATTACGCCGAAAAGTTCAACAAAATTCAACTTTTTACGGTAGTGACAGCGTAATGTCAAAAATTCAAGATGGCTGCACTGCCGCCAATGAAATCGTACAAATTAAATCACGTGATTAGTTGCGCTTACGTCAATTACGCCCGTGGGGTCTCGCCCTGACAGTTCATCCGTTTTTAGGTTAGATTCAGTGGCACTGAAATAAAACTTAATACGGCTTCATTTTCCAACGTTAAACTTTACTACTACTATACCTTTATCTGCTCTAAGGTCGTGCTACTTTGAAACGGAATGGCACTAGCTTTGTTCCAACCTAGCAGGAAACCGTAATATTATTGTCAGGATTCTGCGCGAAATCAACAGCGAAACCTTGAATTTTTGCGTTTAAACCGTAATCATATACAGAGTGTTTCCGAAACCGTTCTGGAACGGCTTTCTAACGGGTTGGAACAAACCTACTGACAGCGATACTCCAACCATTGTTCCAATGTTGGGAAGGATCACTGCCTCCTATACTTAAATGTAGGAGGCTGTGGAAGAGGATGTTTGCCTCATCGTGTAGCGGACATATTTGCAAAATGCTAGAGTGCCAAACATTGTACCCAACGTTGGGACTGGGACGGGACCAATGGACAATGGTTGGACACATCGTGTGGCGCCAGCTAAAAATTTAATTTTTATAATTTCATCATTCGCAGATTATATATTTTTTTTTTCTACTAACCTGAGAAGACGTCATTATTCAATCTACTTTCTTGGGAAAAAATTGAATTTCCCTCTCTAGGTTAATAATCAAAAAAAACCTAGATCAATAATGAAAATGACGTCATGACTCAAGGATATTGTAATAACATAACAGGTTTCTATTGGTTTAAATAGGGAGTTTTCGTTGCTCTTGAAAACTTCAACGCTACGGTTAATGAATACGTAGCCATAGCCGCTATTTAACAGATAAAAAAAACAGTTTTCGGAGCAAGAAACGGCACCCGCTTACCGTTACCGTAAACTATAACCCAAAAAAAAGTCAAGTAATGTTGACAGCGTAGCCTCCAGCCTCGTTTTTAATATGCTTTTGTATATCTTGTTTTTGTTTGGTTCTCATATGAATTTATTGAACTACTGTTTTTCTGTACATTTTGCTATAAAATGATAGAAGAATTGATTTTATTGGACTCCAGAGATGATTCAGATTCTGATTTTGAAGAGGCAATCTTGCTGGAAGTGTTGGAAACTAACATAACATACTGAGGCGATCTTTAGGGGAGGGGGAGGTTCAATAAAGATGTATGGTTCGAAAAAACCATATCTTCAGATTTGTAGAAAGTACTCAGAATTCCAAACGAGTTTAATACAAAGGGTCCACATAAAATCCCAGGAATTTGTATTTTGCTGAAGTGGTTAGTAAAGTTACTGAAATTTGGTCACCTTCTTCTGTAAAACGAACTCTGCTTCTTTTCATTATTTTCAATATTACACTGTATAAGTTTATATTGGAACCCATTTTTGAAAGCTTTTGGGTGTGTTTTGGGTCAACTTGACAACTTGTCACCTGAATCAAGGTTATGAATTTTTTTTATTTGTGTACGGTACACGGTACTGCGCATTCGTTTCGCTACGTTAACGGCTATGTCTATAGTATTTGTAATACCCATTTAGAATAACCCCATCCTTATTTATCAATCGCGAATCGAATGAAACAAAAAATTACCAACTTTATTTGTGTGTCAAGAAGCGACATACGTTTTGTCACTAAAACGACAGGTACTTCTAAATAGGTATTAAAAATACTATACCGTCCGTACGATACCGGCATTCAGCGGTTACGATATACGACAAACGAGATTCGAATGTCAAAGTTGTCAAATAGCGTTAACCGGAATCGCATTTTGTAAGCAACGAAAACTCCCTAATTTCAATTTCAAATTGTCAATTAAAAAAAAAAAACAGGTTCCTGTATGTACATCATAGATAGGAAATTATCATAAACTGTTGATAGAGGGCTGCACTTCCGACAAGAAAAAATAATTTGAACACAGTGATTTCAAACCTATTTTTTATTTTCTACTAGCAGTAGTAAAAAAAATTCTATATATTCTTCGGTAGAGAAAGTCATTATATACCTTATGCATTAGGTCTGTTTCTGCAGAAATCACAAACCAGTCAGAGTCAATTTCATTGGTTGAAACTAGTTTTGCTGACTGTTTCTGATTGTTTTCAACCAATGAAATTCGCTCTGACTGGTTTGTGATTTCTGCTGAAACAGACCTATTATAAACCTCGACCAATTTCTCTACCTATGTATATAATGTACTGTTTATGAACAAGAAAAAAAATGATGTACTATATGTACCATCGTCACCAAAAGTATCTGGGACAAAAATAATGCATAATAATCTCCTGGACTAATTTCACTGTCATTCATTTCAATGCATTTGATTAATAGTTTGACAAATATTTGACAATAAAATTCATATAATAGTACAAGAGCTAATATGATGCTGTCCCAGTTACTTTTGGTGACGATAGTACCTATGTATAATAGTATAGTACACTTGGCCAAACATAAAACTGGTACCGGCAATATATATTTTTTTTACTACTTACCTGAGAAATAGTCATTATTCAATCTATTTTTCTAGGAAAAAATTGAATTTCTCTCCCTAGGTGAATAATGAAAAAGTCCCTAGGTCAATAATGAAAATGACGTCATGACGCAAGGATATTGTCATGTTTCTATTGGTTCAATTTCAATTTCATGCGTCAATTTAAAACAAAATACAGGTTTCTGTAGGTACATAGGAAGTTATCATAAGCTGTTGATAGAGGGCAGCACTTTCAAGCGGGCGTTCAAAAAAAACTAATTAGAACACAGATTTTAAGCAAATTTTTTATTTTCTACTAGCAGTAGTAAAAAAAATTCTATATATTCCTCGGTAGAGAAAGTCATTATATACCTCACGCATTATAAACCTCGGCGCTTTGCGCCTCGGTTCATAAAAGCGCTCGGTATATAATGACCAACTTCTCTACCTAGGTATATAATATACTATTTCATATTTGCCTAGTGTGAGTCAGACTTAACAACAAAAAGTCAACAGTTTTTGTCAACGTCACAGGTGAACAAAAGTAAATGCAACATGTTTTTATGTTATGATTGGTTTAAATATGACACTGACTTGACTCTTTTTGTCATTGTTGAGGTGATAAAAAAGGTCGATTTACACAATATAACCTTATAGGAAAATGCGTACCAGTTTTATGTTTGGCCAAGTGTACATAATATAATGTATTGTCTGGCTAGCGAAACGGCGAACTGCAATAGAATTTGCTACTTTGCCAAACTTGACAAAAACAATAATAAACAAGTTAGTGACTTTTTTTTTTGCTATATGGACATAGGTAGTATTTTGAAATAGAAAAAAATCTGGCAACATTGCGAAATGATGGATGTAGAGAGGCGTGATTATTCAGAGGCATGATTCTATTGGTTAGAGTCTGAACGACAGTACGCAGTGGCGTGGTTATTGGCGAAACTAGAGAATTTTTTTCTAATAATTTTATTGGTTTATTTCCCTGGTGTTTTCGGTGCCACTGAACCCAAAGACATGGCTGTCATCAGGCAGTGTCAGTTGAGGTATTATTGAATATTTTTAGACTACGCCCCTTTTTTTTTTCTCCCTTTCGTCTCTACCAAGTTACCACTTGTCAGACTATACAAGGTGTTCCGTTTTGATTCTACACACAAGGGATAACTCGGTTGCTATTGGAGTTGAAGCTTAGTTCATATACAGTCATGAGCACAAAAAGTGGGACACCCGACTGACAGGTCTTGTCATTTTTCGCTATTTTGCGTAAATCAGTATTTTCTCTACAATCGATTTTTTGTCAAATATGATAACCCCTGTCATTGCCGTAGGTATAGCTGGTGAGCCCGTTTTACAATAGGAAAAAACGGGTGTCCCACTTTTTGTGCTCACGACTGTACTTGCGGAACGCAAATAATAATCCTATTGGTTGATTTCAAATATGTCAAGCGGCGGAAAATTAATTCAACCAATAGGATCATCATTATTCGCTTAGGCAAGTAGATTTCAGTGGCGTAGTAATAGTTTTTAAATATGAACCAAACATACGTTTTTTCAATTTCTGTACATTATTGGTTCATTGGTTTTTGCTGATTTCAATGATATCCAGTTCGATAGGCTTATCTGTAACAGTTTTCCAGCAAAATTTTTTTATCCGTTTTTGACATAAGAAACAATATGTTAAAGAGAGAGAGACCTTTCCCCTTTTCCTTATAAAACAGATATAAAGTCTTTTTCTGAAACATTGTTTCCTATGGCAAAAATAAACATCGAGCTTTAATTTAATCAGCAAAAGCATAGCTATCCAATGAGTCATTAATATACAAGGTGTCTTATTTGAACAAATGCATGTTTGGTTCATAATTCAAAAACTCTCACTTCTATAGGTGGTTACATTCGGACGTGGATGGCTTGATACATATACGTGCATACATCAACGTGCAAATAACAACGTACATGTCACCTTTGTACAGACGCTCGCACAAAACTGTCAGTCTTGCTATTCTTGCTGCAGTATTCCGAGTGTGCATACAAAATTTCTAGCGATTCCAGAATTCATTTGAGCGTCATTCTACAGTTTGCACATTCAAAAACGCGACGGTATTTTGCATACACATTGATGTTTTTGTTTGCGCGTTCATGTATGTGCGTACATGTTTTTAGACATCCACGTCCGTGTGTAACCGCCTTATAGAAAAACTGACTTGGTCACTGGAATTTACATAGAAAGATCTATAAGAACCCGGCGTCACCTTTTCAATCAATGGCATGCAATATTGACAGTTGAGTTGAAGAGGGCGCTTCTTTACTTGGATCTCTTTAAATTTTGGCGCGTAAAAATTCGATTGTAATTCTAACCTCAAAACTGAAATTTGATGTGTGGTTTCAAGACAAGCTGACGCTGACACTTTTAAAAATATTCTCTAAGGGCCACTGAATGCTTTAGTTTAGAAGATATTTTAACTTATCCATTGTCCATTGTTCATATGTAGTCATCTTTTTTTCTACTCAGTTTAATCAGTTTTAAACTATTGACATTTACCGCCAAAATTTAAAACACTCCAAGTTCACTCGCGCCCTCTACAAAATTTTGAGGAACTTAACTGGATATTTGCTGCCATTATGAGAGAACTGAGTTACAAGGGGTGTCCGAAAATGTAAAATTTTCAAAAACACCTAAAGCAGCCAAGGTTCACGAAACCCACATTAACTCCAATAATAGCAACTAAAATATCCCTTATGTAGATGTACCCACATTGCGGAAATATGGATTTTTTTCTCACAAGGAAAATAATAATTATTAAAACAAGTAAATTATTTTTGTAATAAACATTTATACTTATTTACAAATTTCAAATTACAAGTTAACATTTATTTATTTATTTTTTTATAATATTTATAAACTTGACAGTTTTTTTAGTATCTTCTATCTAATTGATGATAATCGATTTATGTGCAAATATTGGGAATTTTCAGACCAATAGGCAAAAAAAAACCTCCTCATAACAATTAATAAAAAGGTTTTTCTTTGGAGGGGGAGTAGTCAATATTACAAAGATTCGAATAAGCAATTAATTTATTACAAGCCCAAAAATATTGCTAGAAAATTCAATTAAATTTCACCCTGTATATAGCAGAAAAACAAAACAACATATTGTCCAGGGCTGACCCTTCAATAACAATATTATTCACAGAAATAATATAAGTTGTCGGAAATATATTAAAATAGATGTGTGTGCCTGGTTTCAAATTACTCATTAATCAGAAATTATTTAATTAATTATATGTAAAATATATGCTACAATTTGATGTAGGAGTGGATTTGATTATTCTAAAAATTATATACAAACTCAGTACAGTTTTTATATTATAATATAAACATATTGATTTTAACTGTTGAATAGTGGTTTTATAGGGAATTTGTTTTTTAGTCCAGAAGCAAGAAAATAATCAGACGAGTTAAGATCTTAATTCATAAGTTTTATGCACCAAAGAGATTTTGAGATTCGAACTAAAACCACTATTCAACAAAATTTGTTCCATTTGGTCAAAGTTGACCTTACAGTTAAGCCATCAAATCTCACATTGAATGTCACAAGATGAAAAATAGGTAAATGTTTGGTTTTTTTACTTATCTTTCCTTGTGATATAAAATTCAAGAATCAAAAATATTGTCAGTACTATGCGCCAATAAAAAAACCGGAAAATTATTTACATATTTTTGTGATTTGGCAGTACCTAGTATAGTATTTTTAGGCTGTTAGGCCCCTTTACAAGGAGTTTTCCAAAATTGATTGGCAATTTTATCAATAATAATGTTTGTACAGGATTTTTCTGTATAATTATAATTCTGTCTTCTACAAATTGAAATTAAAGAAGCAGAGAAATTATTATAATGATTTTGCAGAACAGTTGTTGGAATGTGTAAAATTTTACAGAAAAACTTTGTATGCAATACAAATAATCGTCAAGAAAAATTAAAATAAATACATAAATAAGTTTTTACATAATACAGTCTTAGAAGAGTCTGTTTAATTTTGTTTTTAACGATTTTTATTTTAGTGTTCACAACCTTATAACACTATAATTTATTTATGCCTTGAGCACTAATCTTGGTGTCCTCTTTATCATGATTTGGACACTTGCTATACATTATTGATTTTTTTTTTATATAACAAAAGTGTGCGATAAATCATAGTTTAGTGCGCTTTATGGACGTGAGAAAGAAAAAGAAAACCTGATCAGTCGGCAACAATATAAACCCAAACAAAATGACTAAAAAACTACCGTATAGAAATTCTTAATATTAAAATCACAGTCGTTTTAAAAAACATAAAATTAAGTTTTTATAAAATAAATAATAGCTTTTTTAGATAGATAACCACATTATCTATTAATTTTTCATAAGAGAGTTTCCGCCGATAACAAAGAAATATGAACAAATTTTTGCTTAATGGAGATTCTTTTTGGTCAATCCTAGTAGGCTGAACTAGGCACGATATGAGGCTAAATCATGACTATTTCAGTTTTTAGATTTTCACATTATGGAAAAAGAATAACAACAAATTGAGAAAAAAAAGGATACCCAATTGCCATCTGTGATTTTGCAATTGACCAAATAAATACTAAAAAATTTGCCCCCTTGTTAACCCAATAAATTTTATATCCCTACACTCAGTCACCAAAATAGGCCTTAAGGGCTAACAAAAGACAACTCTTAAACTATAATGGAATCCGCTTATAAGCTACAACCCTCCACTTCAACAAAAAATAAAAATAAAATGGCAGTAAACATTTATATGTAAAAAAAAAAACGCTTTGGTCTAATCGAACTAAACAAAACTGAATTCGGTGCTGAGTTCGCTCTCCCAAGGTCATGCTCCTTCCGTCGTCGCTTTGTGTTTGCCGCCCCACGTGCCGCACCGCACGCCGCAGCTGTGGCACAGTTTCAGGGGCGGGTACAGCCAGATGCACGGTACTACCAATGAGAGTAGGGTGAGACCCGCCCACCGACGTGCGCACACTTCTGACGGCTCGTCTTCACCTTGACACCTTGAATGAAAAAAATATTTCACATTTTCAATTATTTTCAAAATCCATCAGCCAAAATCATAAGATTTGATAGCTTTTAGAACCTTCAAACTCTCTACGTTTTTTGACGTCTTTCGAATGCTTAGACTTCAGTTTAAATTTTTAAACATGATTTTCCAGACTTTACAGAATCTTTAGAAGTTTTCAATTTTAGTTTCAAATCATAAATAAATCTTCATTTTTGAGTTCAAGGTCTTTGGACTTGAAGATTAATTGAAATCGCCCGAGTCTTTGAAAAATCTTTCAGTCTTAAGCCCTAAGAACATTCAAAATATCTGAGATCTTTGAAAGACTGAATCAAAAGATTCAAATTTTTCAATTTTTAGTTTCAGGATTGTAATCTGCCGAGTCTTCAAAGTCTAAATTCTAAAATCTTAAAAATGAATTTTCACAGCTGTTAAAAAATCTTCATTTTTGAATCTTTAGAACCTTTGAAATGTTTAGTCTGAAATCATAAGACATTTGAGACTTTAAAATCAGGAGTTATTTTCAAAAATTTGCAGTCTTACTTAAGGTTCAAATTACATTCTAAAATTTGGAAAAATTAAGGGTTCGAGCCTCATTTTTCCAAGAATGTTAGGACCTTCAAACCAAGGGGCAAACCACCTAGAAATTCTTTGCAAAAACTGTGGGGAATTTATGGAAGTTGGAGGAATGTATAAGTTCATTTGCACTTATAGTTCCTGAGATAAAATCTTCGGGTGATTTATCAATTTTTCAATTTTTCTGAGTGCCTTTTTTCATAGATTTCGGCTTCAAATCTGAGAATAATTTAGTGTATGGAGTTTGGGAGATGTTGATTGACCATTAGGACACAAAATCTTGACAAAAAAAAATTTGAAATTTCATCGTTTTAGTAAGAAGGTACCTACCTTATGATTTAGATTTTGGAAAACTTTGAAAGATCATAACTTTTTTTCTATTACAGATAGAAAGCTGAAACTTTCACTGAATTTCATCCCAATCAAGGGACTACAATCCCTGAAAATTTCAGCTCATTTGTCCCTATAGTTCCTGAGATAAAATCGTGTTAAGCAATTTAGGGTGATTTACCAATTTTTCAGTTTTTCAGAGTGCCTCTTTTCATAGATTTCGGCTTCAAATCCGAGAATAATTTAGTGTATGGAGTTTGGGGGATGTTGATTGACCATTAGGACACAAAATCTTGACAAAAAAAAAATTTGAAATTTCATCGTTTTAGTAAGAAGGTACCTACCTTATGATTTAGATTTTGGAAAACTTTGAAAGGACATAACTTTTTTTCTATTACAGATAGAAAGCTGAAACTTTCACTGAATTTCATCCCAATCAAGGGACTACAATCCCTGAAAATTTCAACTCATTTGTACCTATAGTTCCTGAGATAAAATCGTGTTAAGCAATTTGGGGTGATTTACCAATTTTTCAATTTTTCTGAGTGCCTTTTTTCATAGATTTCGGCTTCAAATCCGAGAATAATTTAGTGTATGGAGTTTGGGGGATGTTGATTGACCATTAAGACACAAAATCTTGACAAAAAAAAATTTGAAATTTCATCGTTTTAGTAAGAAGGTACCTACCTTATGATTTAGATTTTGGAAAACTTTGAAAGGTCATAACTTTTTTTCTATTACAGATAGAAAGCTGAAATTTTCACTGAATTTCATCCCAATCAAGGGACTACAATCCCTGAAAATTTCAGCTCATTTGTACCTATAGTTCCTGAGATAAAATCGTGTTAAGCAATTTGGGGTGATTTACCAATTTTTCAATTTTTCTGAGTGCCTTTTTTCATAGATTTCGGCTTCAAATCCGAGAATAATTTAGTGTATGGAGTTTGGGGGATGTTGATTGACCATTAGGACACAAAATCTTGACAAAAAAAAATTTGAAATTTCATCGTTTTAGTAAGAAGGTACCTACCTTATAATTTAGATTTTGGAAAACTTTGAAAGATCATAACTTTTTTTCTATTACAGATAGAAAGCTGAAACTTTCACTGAATTTCATCCCAATCAAGGGACTACAATCCCTGAAAATTTCAGCTCATTTGTACCTATAGTTCCTGAGATAAAATCGTGTTAAGCAATTTGGGGTGGTTTACCAATTTTTCAATTTTTCTGAGTGCCTTTTTTCATAGATTTCGGCTTCAAATCCGAGAATAATTTAGTGTATGGAGTTTGGGGGATGTTGATTGACCATTAGGACACAAAATCTTGACAAAAAAAAATTTGAAATTTCATCGTTTTAGTAAGAAGGTACCTACCTTATGATTTAGATTTTGGAAAACTTTGAAAGATCATAATACATAATCAGGCCAATGATGTATCATTTTCTGTTATTTTAACAGCAACGTTAAGTTATCTGTCACACCAAAATAGAGACAGGGATGCTGTTGAGCTATAACACAGCTGTTAAAATAACAGGAGAGGATACATCATAGGCCTGATTGTCATTTTGGAAAAAAAATCAAACTTCAAAAAACAACACAGGAAAGTATTTGATACTTTCCAAAACTGTGGGGAATCAAGAGGAATTTGTGGGGAATTTGGAAGAATATGTGGGGAACTTGAAGGAATTTATGAGAAATTGGGAAACGTATGAGAAATTGGGGGAATTTATTTGTTTCAACACTAAGAATAGAAAAATACATTTCTTATCACGGAACAATTTTTGGAATTTTTATAGAATTTGTAACAGGCAACAGTTTGGAGAAATTTGTAAGGAATTTGGAGGCAATTGCGGGTAGTTTAAGAAATTGTTTACACAAACTTGCAGGAGTGAATTACCCCTTGCTTCAAACTTTTTAAACTCTTCAACAGCTTCAAAAGTCAAGATTCTTTTGAAGTATTCAATTGATTTTTTTTTTAATTCTTAGAGACTCAAGTTTTTAATTTATAATCAGCACAATCTCAAGTATTCATTTTAGATTTATATTAATGAGTCTTTAGAGATCGTTGCACTCCAAAGTCTCCAATTTTGAATCTCTAGAATTTTTGGAAACTTCAGTGAGTGTTGTACTAGACATTTCAATGTTTTTCTGGACTTTTCAATTTTCTTTATTTCGACAAATTCAAGAACCGGGAATAAACAAAAATTGAGAAAAAAAATTGGTTGACACAGTATTTTGTTTCTATTCAAAGGTCTTGAATTTTGGACAATTTAGAAGAAAAAAAACGAAAATTCAAGAGCCGATAGGTAATAGATAAAAACTGAGAAATAGAGAAGAAATGTAGGAAAAATTGGTAGACAAGAGGACATGCATGTTTTTTTTCTATTCCAGGCTCTTAAATTTTCTTCCTTTTGACAAATTCAAGAGCCAGGAATAGTCAAAAATTAAAAAATAGAGAGAAGAAATTCGAGAGGAATTAAGAAAAAAAATTGGATTTTAGATTGAAAAGTTGAAATCAAAAGCCTGAAATCTTGAAATTTTTCGGCGTCTTTATTCGTCTTACTTCGTAAATCAATATGTAATATTTGTTTCACGAGGGTTTGTACTTTTGACATCATTTGGCTTCTTTTTTTTTAAGAAATATGTTAAAAGTACAAACCCTCGTGAAACAAAGAGTAGTTTTCATTTTAAGATCTTGAAAAATGAGTCACTTTAAAATCTTTTGACTAGTTAAAGGATTTATACCCGAAAACAGGCCTTCCTTATAGATTAATCAATAAAAATTGGGCGGAAATCTACAAGGAAAACGTTTCTCTACAACGAATTTGTGTCAATTTATTATTTTGGACAATTAATTTGCTTCTATATAGTCTTAGGAAACTCTATTTTTTTTTGAAATATCTAGCAATTTCCTTCAAAAATAATCTTGCTGCCTGAAACTGTCTTGATTTTCACATTTCAGATAATAAATCATCTACTGATGGAGGAATACTCATAGAGACAAACCAATTGTATAATGTGGTGTCAAAGGTATCTCACATACCTAGAATAGGGGACCATTACGTTATTGCCTTAGAAATATCAGTCTTCAAGACCATACAAACTAGAGGTAAAAATATTGATTATGAACTGGTAAGATATCATTTGTCGTATATTAGCTGGGAAATTATGTATGGGTTAATGAATGTAGATTATAATTGTCTCTTACTAAAACACTAGACACAGTTGCCCCTTTGAAGACAATTAAAATTCAATCCTTTTATAAACCACAGTGGAACGTAAGGGTGAAAAATGCTGTGAGGATGAGAGATGAAGGTTACAAGCATTTTAAAGATCAGAAAACTAAAGAAAGTCATAGGGTCTATAAATAAAATAGAAATGCGGTAGTGAGGATTATAAAAGAAGAAAAAGGGCTATTTTTTTGAGAACAAGGTGGATCAGTGAGTCACTTGGTTTTGCTGATGATTTGAAGTTGTTTTTTGAAGTTTCATCAATCACGGATTGTGCAGTGCTCCAGAGACAGGTATCTGATATTATCGCATTGTGTTCTGAGAATAGTTTCAAGTTGAAACTTGATAAATCTGTATGCATATCATTCACACGAAATAAAAATCCTGTCATTTATGATTATTCTGTAGGTAATGTAAAACTGAAAATAGTGTCTGAGCAAAAAGATCTAGGAGTGTTTTTTGATCCTGCTTTGTCTTTCTCGGGACATATTTTGTCAAAAATTTCTAGTGCTCAGAAGGTATCAGGTTTCATTACAAGAAACACAAAATGTTTTAGTATTGACATAAGCTTATCTCTCTTTGACAGTCTCGTTGTGCCCATCTTAGAATATGGCAGCGTAATATGGACACCCCAATACCATGATTGGAGTGAAATTATAGAAAGTGTGCAGCGAAAATTCGTGAAATGTCTGTACTTCAGAAAGTTTGGATTTTATCCCCAGCGGGGCTGTAGCAATGACTATTTGTTGGGTGTGTTCAGTAGACTGTCACTGAAGAAAAGGCGGATAAGAATATTCTTCTGCACTATGTATGGGGTTTTGACCAATAATATTGACTGTCCAGGTATTTTGGAACAGCTTTTTTTTGCTGTAAATCGTATTAATTCAAGGAGTAAAAATGTCTTTTACTTGGTCTACCCTAGAACCAACCTATATAAGTGTTCTCCGCAGTGTTACCAGATCTCACGATTATTCGTAATATTGCACGATTTTGGTCAAAATTTCACGATCTCACGAATGAGGTAGCAATTCTCACGAATTCTCTCTGTAGTAAATCAAATCACTAATCAAATATAATGTAATCGGGAATAATCGAGATAAAAATCTACTATACCTACAATATTTAGTTATGTTCCGCCGCTCCTGGTACATGCGCGCCTGAACACTTAACGCAATATAGGAATGCTTATTGGGTTGAAAATGTTTGCCAAGTCCACGAGACCCCACTATCTGTGACGTCAGCTGTAGACCTCAACTCTTGGAAGAAAATGCATTATCCGAGTCCAAAAAACGGATTCATAAACGTGAAATCACCTTTTCTAAAATTTAAAATTCCCAAAAAAATCAACTCAAAAGCACTGCTGAGGTCTGAGGATGACGTCACCACTATCAGTTGCTGATAGTGGTGATGTCACTCGCAGACCAGCTGCCACCTCGAGAATCGACGACTTATTAGGATGAGCAATCCTGCGAATAGCGGATAGTGAAAACAAGGTTCAGCTCTCAGAAACACCTGCTGAAAAACGAAAAAAACAAGGATACAAGATTTAATAATAAAATGTTTATTTCTTATGGATGTAAAATCATGTTTACTTTGTCAAAAATTTATGAAAAAACATTGTTGTGCTTTATTTTCTTACAATATTAAGCAATTATTAGTCTCACGATTTTTCTTTCTCGATTCTCATGATTTTTTTTTAATTCATCTGGCAACACTGGTTCTCCGATCTATAATTTGTGATCTATTTACCCTTTATGCTTCAGATGTAGATATAGACATTATTAGTCTTAAGGTATTCAAAATGATAATTGACAGGAAACTGCATTCATCCTAAATTGTATTCCTCTGTATGTTGTGATTGATCAACTTTGTTGAGATTGTAAGTAGGTTTTAAGAGTATGTTAAATGTTATCTGTATTCTTGTATTATTACTATTAAGTCAGTATTTGTAATTGGCTCTGCTGTTGATACTTTGAATAAATAAATAAATAAATCAGTGTATAAGAATGATCCTAAATGTATGTAGGCAACATTGAGACAGGTTTTTCCTGAAAATAAGAAATCAGGAAAAATACATAAAATAGACTTTATTGGCGAACAAATTAACAGTTAACAACCAAGTCCACGGTCAAAATACAGGCAGCAACAGAATTTCTATATACAACGTAGAAATAAAAAGCTTGCTGGAAATTCTGTTTTTTTTTAAGACCTGGATGATTTTAATAAGTTACCTAATAATATTGAAAATAGTTTATCTCTGAATGGTTTCAAGAAAAATTTAAAATTATTTTTGCTTAGGGTAAATGACCTAAGTCAGCATAGTCTTTATACATTTTACGAGACATCTTGATCATAAACTTCAATCAAATAACAGTTAGAATAAGTTGGTACCTTACCTGCAAGGGTTCCGTTGAAAGTCCCCCTCTGAATCGGCAGCGCAATGGTACATGGAACAATTGACCAGCGGTAAGCAAGACAACCAATGAACTATCGATCTGACAGTATCAGGGGCGTATTTACAGGAACCGCGTTTGTTTTGGTCGCGCGTAAAAGGCTCATTACAATGTCGACAAACATAATGCTGAGGCCTCTTGATAACGGGCTTGAATACTTCAGAAAGCGGCTGAGGTGGCGGCGGAGGCGAAGCTTTTTTCAGCGCCGTCGGTGACTCCCAAGTGGGCGGCAAGGGCGGTTGCTGGCTCAGCGGGTTCTCCACGTAAAAGTATTCGTGCCGCGCTTGAAGTTGGACGTACTCTGGTGCCCCTATAAAAATCATAACAAATTAATATGTAATCCATTTCGAAGATTGTTATTACCTTTTGGAGGCTCGAACACAGGTTGTCTAGGTGGTTCCAAAGGTTTATCGCGGCCAATATAAGTTATCCGGCTTACTTTTAATGGGTCGACGGTACCGCTTTTGCCGCTACTATTCGAATCGGTACTGCTTCTCGAATCTTTGGGGTCTCGAGGCAAGTCTAAGGTCTAAAATAAGACAAATTATAAGGGGATTTGTTATTTATTTTAGTAGCTGGTGTAGTTACCATGAATACATCGTCATCAGCTTCAAGAGATGGACATTTTGGTAAGGGCATTGAAGGCGAAGTATTGGTGAAGCCTATGAAAAACAAAACACTTAATTGTATGGATGCGTCACGTTTAAACAAGCCTTAAAAAAAAAAGTTACATTGTAACATTGAACATAATAGCCCTGGGAAAGTAGCTTTCTGGGAATCTATGACGCATTGTCTTTGTTTAACACAATGGATTACTTAAAACACACGTGCATTTTCGGCCTCTTTTTTGCAATTAAATAAAACGGTGCCACTTGTTAATTATCTAGTTAATTAAGAGGGGCCGTCGACTATTAAAAATTTGATAGTCGAATGCTCCTTTTACGGAAACAATATGATATATTACTCACCGTGTAGAAATCCCGTAGTAGGGAAAGCAATGGAAAAAGACAGATAGAGCAAATAAGACAATTTACTAATGAGTTATAATTAACTGCCGACAGTTAATCGGTTTTTATAGATACTACTAGTACGCTAATCATTGAATAAAATGTAGAAAAATTGCAATATTTATATAACATTATTCAATCTCTATAGAGTGCAGTGTTTACTACCCTCAATAATTGGCTGTTAATAATACATATACATATAAGGAACACCACTTACCGTCCAATAAATCCTCGACAGCCGTCCGGACGCCTTTATCAAAAGCGCGCGCATCCGCCGCCGCCTGAAACGTCAATCCGAACCGCTTCGAACCGGTCCGCCAATGGTGAAACGTCGGCATCACTTTGTTGTATTCGAAGTCTTTTTTTATAGTACAACTCAGCACCACCTTAAGAAAAATTCATCATCGACAAATTCAAATTGCTATCGAATTTCTTACCGAATTGTCGCTGATCCGTTTGCCGTAGATAAGATAGTCGTGTTTCGGTTTGTCGGGCGGGCCGGCGCCTTGGGCGCGAGGGCGCCTGCGCACCGACACGTCGCTCAACCCGCCGCCGCCCAGCGGTACCCAGCCGCCTGACGAGTCGTCGCGCGACATTACTTGAGCGCGCACGCGCACCAAGTAGTTGCCACTGGAAAAAATTAGAAATTCTAAAAATCCAATCAAAATTCTTTATCAATACCTTACATAGTAATACATATACAGGGTTGGTCAAAAGTCTAAAACCAACTAATTACCTCAAAGTCTTCAAAAATTATTAGTTAGAATTGAAATGAAACAAGATACCAACCCTGTAATAGATATAGTGATCGTTATTCCCCTTGCTAGGGCACTTGCCGTCTTCCTCTCTCTTATCGAAATGAATAGAGAGGGGACGGCAATAGAGATAAAGATATTGAACGCTATTCGTTACGGAGTCCCAGTGCAGGTAATTTGAATTTATCTATATTTATTCTATAATCCTTTTTATCAGAATTTTAAAATTCGGTTTCGTTTTTTATACACAATAATTGTCTCCAAAGAAAAAAATCCAACATATTTAAGTCAGGTGACCTCGAGGACACCCTTATTTAACTTCCTACATATATAATTTCTAAGGGCAGTGATATAATAAGACAAAACTCTATCCTGCTAAAAACCTTTCTCCCTACTTTTAAGGTAGCATTTCAAACACCGAATGTGACGTTATCCGCTCTAACAACCAATAACGATACTGAAAATTAGTAAATATTGCAACGTTGTCAGATTGTCGTTGTCATTGTTGATTTCCAAGATACCGGATTTTATTCTTGCTATTATAATAATGTTCTTTCGTTGTATTTTGTGCACTACCTTTCAGTTGTACTACAATAGTTTTTGTGATGATCAGAAAGGATCTAATCTATGCCTTAACGTTATTTGAGTTTCAAGAAATTACGCCTGTCAGTTTGGCAACGTCGCATAGTCAAATGTCTGCTGATAAATAAATATCATACTTAAAGGCTTATTTACACATATCCAGCAGATTGAAATGGATGTTTTCGCACCTTTATGACGTATTATGACTCCAGCCAATAGGAGACGAACGAAAACAACCCATAACGACCTAAACCCTGAGAAATAGGCAACCAGATATACAATTTTCATTTTGATCAAAAAATCAACACAGAACACAGATTTCAATGTCATAGCCGCCCCCTTAATTGGTTGATTTCTAGTTCTGACGACAGATTGGGAGACTACAATGCTATTGGTCAGAGTCATGTGACGTCACGTTAGGCGCGCGTTTTGAATAGACTCGTTTTATCGGCAAATTCAATATTATTTTTCTAACTGAATAACGAATAATGAATTCATATTGTATTCAAACAATTCGAAAACCCAACAAAAAAAAAGGCGGGACAACCTCACAACAAGTGTTCACATTATGCGAGAACTAGAACGTCAGTGAGACTGGCGCCAGTTACTTAATACCTGTAAATCAGCCTTTAGGTAATCTTATAGTGAAATCCTTTTCACGTGCCTCCGGTTTAGGTCGGATTTTCATGCATCCGTTTTCCGACGAAATATGTCCGAAAAATCTTCTATTTTGACATATTTTTATACGATTATGTCAGAATAGAATGTTTTTCGGACATCTTTCGTCGGAAAAACGGATGCATGAAAATTAGGCCTTAAACTAGCCGGGTTACAAAATGATTAGTAGCGGTATGTCAAGTGATGACGTCATTGAAAACGCCACTTGAAAACGAGCAGTTATTTATAAATTAAGCAATCCAATGACCTGTCAATGTCCAATTCGATTTAAGGTTAAGTATAATTGTTTGACTGTGTAGAAACTTTTTTCTATGTTTTTTTGTTTTAACCGTTAAACTTAACCATAGTCAATTGAAAGCGATTACCCAGTCGGTAATTTTGACAGATGAACAATGCATTTAACGTCATCTAATACCGATTGGTTAACAATTGACGTTTGCTTCATTGGTCAACTGTGACCGAACGGTTAATCGCCTTTAATTGATTCATATCGCCGAACTGGTTAGAGAAATGACATACCGTTTCCGAGTCCGGTTACAAAGTGACGTCATCGATACCACTCGAATTTATAGTCACTCCTTGAGGTTTCCTCAGACCTTAAGGAGGCCTTGAACTAGTTAGAATTGACGTGACTAACTTATCAAATAGTAGCCAGTGTCCATTCTGAACTCAGGACCTCCAAGGAAGACCCAAGGAACGACTATAAATTCGGCCCTGAGAGGTAAAGTCCGTCGTTTTCAATCTGACACTTTCCGTGTGAGGAGCGAAGGGGTGTTTTATATGGCAGAAACAGGTGTGACGTCAGGTAACCATTGGCGTTCTAATGTAGAGAGCCACCAGCTCACATTCCTTTGGAGTATCAGATTAAAATCGACAGACCATATATGTTGCGGTTTGTTAAACCGGAGCCACGTGAAAAGGACTATTGGTAAGTTCAGTGCCCACTGGATTGTATTCGTGTCCTCTTCTACTAGCATGTAAAAGAAAGTGACGGAAATACATGTTTTTTTTGTACTAATATTACCAATGGTTTTCGTCATTAGACAGTGTGTTACACGAACATGGTGCAAATAACGAGTGTCGTTGTCATTGTCACTCGTCAAAGCTTAGACAAGGAAAGAATTGAAGATGTGCGTTAGAGTCATTGTGAACGATTCTTACTGATCGGTCGGTATCGGTGAAGAAGTCTACGTCATACTCTTGACGCCATTTTAGTACGTTTAAATATTATGGTATGAAACCTTAGAGCAGGTAAAGGTAAAGAGGAATAGTAACATGGAGTTGGAAAATGAAGCCGTTTTTTTCCAGTTATTTTGACACCAAAAAAATGGCGGCATAGGAAATTCATCACTTTTAGTTTTATAGCAGAATAACGCATTTCTACTCCCTATGTCCGTAGAACAGCGTCTTACCTGCTCTAAGGGCAATTCCATTGGGCAATTCAATGCTTTACCTCTATTTTGGTGCCAAACACCTGGCAAAAACTTGGCTTCACTTTAATGGCGTTTCCGATTGGTAGATTCAGTGCGCACTGAGTGTATTTGCATCCTTTTAATCGACCCGTAGAAGAAAAAGACAGAACTAGAAAAAATTGCACTAGTTCCGCACTAGATTTACCAATCGGAAACGCCATAAGTTTCATAAGCAGAATGGCGCGTTCCTATTCCTTATGTCCTTTACCTGCTTTAAGTCTGAAACTAATCTGATTTAGGGCCCGTTTATTCACTAGAGCTGCATTCGATTGAGCAAATTAGATCGATCTGGTTTAATTTAAGTGAACCAGACCGTGTTCGATTGTAATTGGATTGGATTAGTTTACCCCCACCAAGAAAAAATAATCTAAATCCACTTTAGATCACTAGAAGTGAACTAAAACTATTGCTGGTTCACTTTCTACACCAAACGAACAACTGACAAGTGACAGTTGACAATTATCGAATTGAACCTACTTTTTCTGTTCAGATCGATTTGAACTTTGAATTGCATTACGATTACATATTACGACTCTTCCGATAAAATGTCCAGATAACGCAATCTATATCGCATTGATCGGCTAGTTATCCGCAGACGGGGGGATCGTTAAATTTATCTTGCAATATAAACCGGGCCTAAAAATAATAAAGCGATGAAAAACAAATATTATTGCAAAACTTTTCATGGACCACAATAATTTTACTGTGAGGGCGACGAGAAAAAACGAGACGAAACAAAAGAATTGCCCTCTCGTCTCGGTAAAGATATCTTTTCGAGACGAGAAACTTAATTTCTCTTGCATTCGAAACGAGAATTCTCGTCGCATCATTTGTCTACTTGGAAACAGGAAAATCAACTCAAAATGAAACAATAAAAATTAACGAATTATAGGTATATACAAGTATGTACTATACCTATACAGGGTGGAAAATTAAAAAGGATCCACCTGGATTTTCTCGAAAATTATCAGGAAATTGAAAAAACGCCGAAACACGTCGATTTTGTTTGCAAGGGGGACACTTTTTGGCTATTTCAAAATTTTCCTAGATTGCACCCTCTTACCGGGGTAAGTTGCACCATCAAAAGTTGAATAGGGCCGAGTGGTACCTTGTTTGAGAGGTATTTGAGATGACTTTACAGATCTGTCATTTTTTTCGAAATCTGACTTTTAGTTTTCAAGATATTCGCCTCGGAAGTTGCCATGGGGCCAAAAGAGAACGTGTTTTTCGTGAAAAAATTAAAAGTGGGTCATGTTTGAAAGGTTGTTTAACAGGTTCAAACTAACAAAGAAACAAAGGTTCAAAATAAACAAAATTGACGTTTTTCAGGAATTTCAATTTTTTCTTGTAGAAATGTACGAAAAACACGTTTTCTTTTCGCCCCATGGCAACTTCCGAGGCGAATATCTTGAAAACTAGTAGTCAGATTTCGAAATAAATTACAGATCTGCAAAGTCATCTCAAATACCTCTCAAACAAGGTACCACTCGACCCAGTTTCCCTATTCAAGTTTTGAGGGTGCACTCGCCCTTTAGAAAACTCGCCTCCGGCTCGTTTTCTAATATAGGGCTCGTGCGATAAAATCACGTCTTATGAAACTTGTATTTTAATGTACTATTATGGCAATTATTTCGTAGAAAATTAATTTCACAAACAATTTTTTTTTACATTTTCAAGTTTTTCAAGACTACATAAAGTGACCATTTTCAGTACGTCTGTTGAGTAAATAATTCCATTATTTAGCTTTCCAATAGAATCAAAAATAATTGCCTTAATTATTTTGCATTTGAGAAACAGGGAACGTCTTGAATTTGAAATTTTGTGAGTAGACAAACAAAAATATCGAAGTTAGATTGAAATTGGTTGCATGTAAAGGATTTAATGGGCTTGAATTTGAATTTCTAATTTTTTTTTTAGATTTTATAAACTTAAAACTTACGTGATTGGAGCGTGAGTTTGAACATTCGTTAGAATTTTCATCGCTTCCTCCGGCACAGGTTCGGAGTCGGACGAAGATTCTTGTTCCTCCAACTTAAATGTTTTCAAGCAACTTGATAGAAAACTCAAAAATTATCTCTAAAGACACACTTATTGCACGTCCATTAAATAGTTTTTCTTTTGAAAACTCAATTTTACATTCATA